TATATATGTATATATACAAATGTGTATATTATATATATATATATATACATGTGTGTGCGTGTGCGTGTGTGGATATGTATATGCATGTTTACTTAATTCGCCAGCTTATGCAAATGTGTGTATATGTGTATATATATATATATATATATGTGGTGTTGCATCTCGTCTTCTGAATCGTGACATGTCAGGACAGGCCGAACCATTGGCACTGGAACGTCGGGCTCTGAGGTCTGAGACAGGTGAAGTCCTGGAGGCTGTTGCAATGTGGAGGCGACGCAACGAGTGATGTTCACACTGTTGCAGAGCCGTCACAGCTGACAGTGTAGCAAAAGCTTCGATCTATCCTCACAGTAATGGGCGTATCTTTGGGGAGCAGTGTCGGCTTGACACACTGGGTTACTCGACACGAAGGCCCAGCAAGGCAGATGCCGACGGAGCCCTGGATGCCTTTGTTGTGAACTCGGCTAAGGACGGCGTTGCTGTTTCTCGGTGTCCGCGTGGCGCTTACTTGAGCATCTTCATCCGCGCTGTGAGATCTTCGGGTGTGAAGCTTCAAGTTCGGAGAGTAATCAGCTTAGATGGTGATACCCCGGGAAGGAAGGCACTGATCGCAACCTCTTCAACGGGCGTCGTTTGTGTAATTAGGCGAGGGCCTGTTTTCATCCAGTCAGTCTGGAGGTGAGAGCTCAGGTAGGCTTGATGGATCCGGAAATTGTCGCATCAGACGATTATTGGCACAGTAACTTTGGCCAGCTGAACAGGGGGAAGATGATGTTGAGCATTGTGGCCACCTGGACTTTCACTATCATCAGCAGTAGCATCTTTATAATGTCACATGTTCCCTACGCTGAAACCAAAAAACTAGCCCTGAGACCGAAAGTTCTAGATCCAGAACCCCAACCCCCGCCTCTTCCGTCGGATGCCAGCAGCGGAGGTCGATACTTCAGTGGCCAGAGCGGCTCTCACGGGCTTGATCGACAGGGGCCTCTTGGGCATCCTTCGAACTTAGGGCGCTTGTTGTGACTTCGGAGGGCTTGAGGATGTTTTTAGGCTTCAGGGTGCCTGGGTTTACTGTGAGGTACGATGTGGTGGAGCATTGCGCGACTGCAGCCTGCATGCGCCACCTTAAACCCGCCATCCCAAGTGACCAGCTTATAAATACAATCCAGCAAATCCCCTCCAAGTTGCAAGTGGGCCCTGAAGATCCGCAGTTCACTATTTTTGGTTAGCCCCGAGCCGAGCGTGAGAGTGAAGAGATCCCAAAACTAAGCATCCACCAGTTCACAAGGCTGAATACACCGCTCTTCGTCAGCGGGAACCGGTGTGGCAACTTGCATGACGCCAGGCCCATCGCCCAAGGGTGTCGGGTGGCACTCGTAAAGCGGGATGCGTTGCGAGCCTTAGGGCTCAGGGCTCAGGGCGACGATGCAATCAGCCGCCCTACTCGCAGGCCAGGCTCGAAGAACACTAGGCACAAGGAGGATTATGGCGACCATGTGGAATTTCGTTTGTTTCGCTGGCAAGTCTTTTGGGTGACAAGACTGCAGCTCATCGCAAGCAAAGCTCGCAATGGACATAAAACCCCAGGTCCAGCAAAGCAAAGACGCAATGCCCCTTTTTTTAGACATGACGGCTCGCAGGGGTCTATGGGTTTTAAGATTTATCATGCAGGAGATCCATCACTAGACGCCAGTTAGGAAACATGGCCCGGGCTCGGCTGGCACGATGGGGAACATGCCGCATCGCCGTGGCAGCACTGTGCCTTTGTCTGGTGCGGGCCTCGTGGACGATTCTTGCAGGTAGATCTTGCTGCAGGAGGCTCAGGCCTATGGCTGCCACCGCTGCTACTATTCTCCTACTCCTGCTCCCTACTCGGGTGACTCCCACTAACACTACTATCACTACCACCACTACCACTTACGACTACCACCGCTACCACTACCACTACCCCTGCCGCTACCACTACCACCACCACAAGCACATCCACTACGACAACGACTACGACTACGACTGTGACGACTACTACCACTACCACCGCCACTGCCACTCCGACGCTGCTGCTACGACTGCTACTACTACTACTCCTGCTTACTACTACTACTACTACTACTACTACTACTACTACTACTACTGCAGTGCTGTCGTCGGCGTGCCAACTGGGTGACCAAAACAACTGCTGCTGCTGCTGCTGCTGCTACTACTACTACTACTACTACTACTACTACTGCTACTGCTACTACTACTACTACTACTACTACTACTACTAATACTACTACTACTACAACTACTAGTACTACTACTACTACTACTACTACTACTACTACTACTACTACTACCACTACCACTACCACTTCCACCACCACCACTACCACCACCACCACCAGCACTACCACTAGGACGACCACGGCCGCGACGACGACTACTGCTACCACGACTACAGTACTTTTCGTATTGGTGGAAGCACTAGTGCTAATTGCTGGTCCTTGCAACTATGTGCTATTGCTAGTGCTGGTATTTACTAGTGCAAGTACCCGACAGATGCTTTGGGCTTGCAGCAGCTGCTGCTGTTGCCAGCAGTGAGTTCCAAGGCCTCCGGCGCCGCCACTTTCTGCATTCCACTCCGCCAAACGCCTCTTGCAGGCTTCGGCCGTGCGCAGGCGCTTGAGCACATTGTAGTTCCCTCTATAACTGCGAGTCCTGTAGGCCCCGATATGTTTTTGGCTCGGGCTTTTTGAGCCCGGGATTTAGGGAAAGTTTAGGTACTGGTATTGCGGGTTGAGGACCAAGGTTCTCAGTCACATAGTCCAGCCTGGTCGCAAGCAGAGTTCAGCCAGATGCACAACCTAATGGCACTTGACATCAGCCGCCAAGGATGCAGAATTTCCACCGTATTTACAGCCAGCATTGCGATGCCGAGGGACTATGAGAAACGGTTCTAGCGACAGCCGCAGCGATGCGAAGTGCAACCGCCGCACCAGCACAGGGCTCTCCCAACGTTGCGTCGCCAGCTCGCGCATGCAAGATGCTGCATGGCTCCAAACCAAGGCTAGAGATCCGTGCCAGAGCCATAACCGAGCTGCAAGTCAAGTATGTCAGATGTAGTCCACGAGCAATACACCTCCTGAATCCTGAAATCTAGAGCTGGGGCTTACCAGGATGCCTGCACATGGGAGGTGGAGGTTCAAGTTGACTTGGAACAGCCGTGCAGGCTACCACAAAGATTCTCCTTTTGAAGGCCCTGCCCGGTTGAAGGGAAGAAGCGAACTGGCTTTGCAGCTTCGGCCTTGAGCCCAATCCGGCAGGTGGGTCGCCAGCCCCCGGCAGCTGACAAGGCAACGAGTTCTCTTGGGCTTTCAGCTTTCTCATTGAAAGCCCCCGGGTAGTCGCGCGGAAAGTGTTGCGCGTGGGGCGGCCCGTATGAAGCCTGGCAGAACGGTCTCGGCTGTTTTGATTGAAACACATACAGCTTCCTGTTGCAGTTGCCGCGGTATGCTCCGAACCAGCCGGCTAGTCTGTCAAGTCCGTCTTGAGTGGCCACTGTGATCCAGGCCCGGACAGCCCTCCAGAACCGTGTGGAAGAGGCGCTTTCTGAATCTGATACATGCAATTTCGCAGGAAGTAGGGTAGCGAAAATTGGGTGTCGGCTGCCTCCGATTACCATGTTACGAAGATTTCAGCACCTAGGTGGGGTCAACCCGACAGTGCTCAGTGGCTCTTCAGGTCAAAATTTCTTGAATTTGGTTCTTCGATGTTAAGCATGCCTGTGGACTGCAGGCCCAAACAGGACACGTGCTTGGACTCAGCGAGTAGTGCTAAGCGTCTTGAGAACATGTTTGCATCTGCGTATCCTGAGCCCAACGTTCAACCCAAGAAAAGCCGTCAGTCGCGCTTCCACCCGGAAACACATCACCCTTGATCCGTGCTCACCATGCTCGGGAGAGGAGTTTCGGGCTTAGCATGAAATGTAAGACTTACGGCGTCAAGTTTATTCTTGGGGTTAAGACGGTTAAGGGCCTAGGAGATATGCACGGGTCAAATCCCAAACCGGTTGTGGAGGATCAATGGTGCCGGACAGCGGTGGAGTAGTTGTCTATTCGTGGTCCAGGGTCTGCCATGTTGCGGTATAGGCTTGTGCTGTAGGAATCAACTTCTTCACAAGATGCCGTAGCAGTTGCTCCCCTTTCTTCTGCAGGCTTGCAAGTAGTGCAGACATGATCCAGCCACAGATCCTAGCAAGCACCGCACTAACTACGCACCGTTTCACCATCAGCTTTATTCATATTCCAGGCCCCAAGCCCTAAGCCTTACATCCAGCCCTACTTCCTTCCTTGGATTGAAGGCAGAAGTAGTCGAAGAGTCCTCGTCGAAAGCGACTGTGCTCAGCACTGCCGATTCTCGCCTGCACTCCCATTTCCCGTGCAGTCGTCCTTCTTTGTTGGAAATCTAGAGTTGCAGAGTTTTGGATCCAGCTAGGATGTCCTAGGCCCTAGGCGGTCTAGTTTGGAGGCAGGAGAGGTGTGGGTATTTTTAGTACTTAATCTGAGTTCGAACTAATTTTAAGGGAACGCTCAGGGTACGCATCTTCTTCTCGGCATGCATACGATTCCTGTGAGAGGCGGCCCCAAACCATTCTGTGACGTGAGCCCCGCTTGCAGACTTCTCCGAACAAGCGAACATGGCAGTTTCATGCAACTTGGGGGCTTCAACCCCAGAAAGCAACCTCCTAAGCCCTCATGTGTTCTTAGAGGCCCGAATCCCCTTGGAACCTGAAGCTCCCCTGGGCTGACCGGTGACTTCAGGTGAGTCTTGCTAAGAGCATGTTGGGCAGTGGAGCTCTCTGGGCTGCAGATATCAAACCTAATTAGGGTTCAGGGAGTGGGGGAGGGTGTTCAGGATTTTACTTGGTTTGTGGCCTCGGGTCCTGCAATCACGGAACATCCAAATGGGCCTCGCAAGGCAACAGGGTGGTTCAGCCGGCCGTGGCATGGTTCTGATGACGCTGATGTTGTTGATGATGATGCTGATGATGCTGATGGTGATGATGCTGATGATGGTGATTTTGAGGTGATGGTGAGGTGATGGTGGTGATGATGATGGTGATGATGCTGATGATGCTGATGATGGTGATTTTGAGGTGATGGTGGTGATGATGATGATGATGAGGATGATGAGGATGATGGTGAGGATGGCGACGGTGGCGACGATGATGATGATGATGGTAGAGTCAACGTCGGTACTTGACTGGTTTGTCCCACTGACCAGCCTTCCAAGGGAAGTCCTAGAAACCGAAATCCATCAACTCCAACAAATCAAGCCCCGAAGCCGTACTTACCAGATCCCCTACGCAAGTGGCACAGCCTATGTGGGCGTTCAAGAAGTGAGTCCTTGTAAAATTAGTGTAGTTCGTCTTGAGACCTGAGACCTAATTAGCTTTGTTCTCTGCCATGCGAGGCGATTGCACAAGTCCTGATGCAAAAAGGACTCAAAACAAGAACTTGAAGAAGTTGGTGAAGCAGCACGCCGAGTTCTGTCGTACTGTACCCTTTGTGTAGCTCACTTATTGGCCGGGACAGAAGAGTTCCTAGCAAACGTGGTGGTTGTGACGTTTCAAGAGGTTTCAACTCCCGTCCGGCCCAAACTGTGAGGCTCTTTCCCTTTCGGCGGGTGTCGCGGCTTTCACGAACACCTCCCAAGGGCTGCTGGTGGCCACTGCTATCATTCTGGGCATGACAGTGTGGGGCACCAAGGATGTTCCCACTCTCGTTTCGCAAGCCGGATTTAACTTACCATGGTTTGGAAAGTTATTGCTCGCTTTGTATCCCGTGCATGGTAACTTAGATTACTTAGATTCATGAAGTCCCTCAGCAAAAACTCGCTGAACTGCTTGGACTTCACACAGCGCCTCAACCTTTGACCCCAATGTCTCAAACAGCTGAATGCCTCAGGACAAGACATCCCGAACCCAACTCACCAACGCCGTAGACGGGCGCGGGGGACCTCGAACCTGAACCCAACTTTGAAAGCCTATGTGCGCTTTGGGGCTTGGAATTTCAGGTATTCAAACGTCTGGGTTACGAGCTTAAGTTGGACGGTGGACCTTGGTCGTGAAGATCTAAGAGTCTAAGGCTGAGTTTCGGAAGCACTTGGGTGGATGGTTGGGACTTGCCAAGGCTGTCTGCTTATACTTTCCAGATGGTGGCGGAAGTCAGCGCAGTTTCTGGGCTGAACAGATGCCTGCTCTCACTGCTGCCAAGTTGCCACCTGACATGATCCGAAAGGTCTCTGAACCTATGTGCGTATACACAGCTCAGCAAAAGGCGGGAGATTGTGGATTGTATTTGAGAT